ATACAACTCGCAGGCATGCTCCAGTGAGGATAGTACAACACCGAAGCTAAATATCTTTCGTACAATTTCATAGTTCATCCAGTACTCAAACACTGCACATTCATCTTGGATATGGGGTACGAGTATCAGAGGATTAATCTTGAAAATACCCATCGTATTAGGATATGACGCCTTCAACACAGCTATGAAAGTCTTACCTAAATCGATAGGTGTGAAAACCGAGACACTATGATTAAGACGCCTAAAGATCAACCGGAGTTACTTTACCTACTTTTCATAACGCGGAAATGAAATGTACTGTAGCATAGCTGTTGAAAATGCAGTAACATATAACTGATGCATTCAAGTCTTTACTGCTTTTGTCATCATATTTCAGATAAATAATACGCTCAAGGTCGTCCACGTCACTAATTAATGGCGTCTGAAACATTCATATGAGATAAGTTTATCACACAGCGATGCAGTATCAACAATAGGATGGCGTTTCGAGCATAAATTATTGCTCATGATAATATCAGTTTGGTCACACAGCTCAACAATTTGTTTAATAAACATTTCCTTTCTTTCTGTCTCTACAACTTCTATTTGCTGTTTGTTGCCACCTTCCAATGTCTCCAGAATATGCATTCCCTCATTTCGATTGCACGTGCGCAATGTTTAAACGACAAACAAAGTTTCAGTGATTAACCTTGCTGTCTCTCTAACTAACCACCTCACCCTGTCTTAATCACCCTATTTTGTCAATACATGCACGTGAATGCAATGCAAGAGCTGACATTTCGTCTAGATTACTTAACTTAGCAGAGTGAATCATTCTAGGTCTAGGTAAATATTTATGTTTCAGTAATCTATTTGACGCTTATCTACTAGTTTGACTGAACTATATAATCGAACTCACTTAGAGTCATAACATAGTATTTAATAAATCATATTATTTCTCTCATTTGGATCTGTTGGGTCCGTAGGCCAACAAAATTTATCTCAGAGTTTGTTCGTTGTGTGGTTTGAATGGCAGACTCATTGAGAACCCTGAGTAAGATCTTTGGCGTGGCTTCTCTTTAAGGCAGTACTACAGAGACTTTGAATTCTAGCTTATGTTTGTCTTTTTTTATTCCTAATCTTAGTTTTCCTATGGTTCTTCTTATAATTCTGGATAAATTCCAGTGGTTAGTTATTCGCTATTTAAATCGTCTCACTTACTAGTCACGCTTCTGGCCTCATTATATAGACATTTATCTAAAGCTGTCTTCATCGATTCTAGATGAGTTGAATTAACGTCTAAGTATTTACCACAGAGAAAGGTTATTGACTCAGTCTTTGTTAACCGATTCAAAATAACACAAGTGAAACGGAAATGCTGCAACACCAATTCCAGAGATGTAGAAAGGGTCAACATACAACAAGGAGAAGGGAGATCGTGAGAGAAATACATCTGTGAAGCAAACCACTAAGCTGTATGACTAATTAATAAGAACATGAGCAATAAATTGTGCTCGACACGTCATCCAGTTATTAATACCTCATCACTATGTGATGTTTGAAATAAACTTACCTAATATGGAATTACATTTTATCACAGTGCCCAAGTTCTGCGCTTACATAAAATGTTCTTTGTTCCCTCGAAATCAGTGAAGGGTCAATTTCCAAACAACAAGAATTAGAGTACTTTTGTGGTTTAATGCATCGGTACTAACATCTTCATCCTGATACATGCATTTATAAGCAATGCAGAATTTTAAGAGAATTTCATCGTAAGGTATTTACTTCCTGTGCTGAATCCTGAAACAGCATAATAATCTATATTAAGGACATTTGTAGCTCAGGTGGATGATACTGAATTACTTATGCTCTCTGAACTAACTGATTTAATTGCAAAACTTTCTCAGCCATTCTTCTGGACAACATCTTCAGAATAGGTTTAAGTACTAAATGAACTTATTTTAGTTCTCCATGAATGATGATACAATTGTATCTCCTGGCAATCACATTGACATATTTCCTGTTGTACTTCTACATTTGATTTTGATGATTTGAGTGATGACTCGATGGAAGCACAGAAATGTGTTGCTGAAGTGTCACCAGTATTGTAGTTCGGTCCTTTCGCAAAAAGTTGTTTCTCTATTTTTGATAGTGGTTGTTTCAACAGATTCACTACGGAGTCATTTAGAATTCCTTCAGTTGGTTGTTTAGAAAGTTTTGCTAATTTTTCACTGAGGACAACTCATTTTTGTTCTTCTTGTCGTTCGCTTAGTACTTTAGTGGCAGTGTTCACTGCTGATACATGTTCTCGATTGATAGTCCCTTCAAACTTTTCCTTTTGAAATTTAAACATATTCTGGTTTTTATTTTAATCCGATTGTATGCATCAGTGATCATTACTTTCACTATTTGTTTTCCGTGTTGCTGGGCTAATTTTCACCCCACAGGACACTTAATTAGTGGTACATTTATCAAAACAACCATTATCAAAAATAGAAGAACAACTTCTTCAGAAAGGAATGGACTACAATAGTTTTGAAGCCTCACTAACAAATTTCTGTGCTTTCATAGAATCCTTACTCAAATCATCAAAATCAAATGACGCAGTACAGCAGGAAATAAGTCAATTCGATTGCCAGCAGAAAGAATTATATCATCATTCATGGAGAACTCAAATAAGTTCATTTAGTACTTAAACCTGTTCTGAAGATGCTGTCCAGAAGGACGACAACAAAGGCTTCTCAATTAAACCAACTAGCTCAGAGAACACAACTAAATCAACAGTAACCAATAATATATTATGATCTGAAGAAATATTACTTCATCCGAACTATGATCTAATGTTACTCCGCAATATTCCTCCTCAGTTTCTTTCAAAGCATTTCTAACGGTGGATAGAAACCTATTTGAAATAATGCGCGATTATATAGATTCCGACGTATTATAGACAGAAAATTTAAGTATTTTAGTAATTTAGGCAGTCCGCCATATGGCTATTTGAATAAATCAGGTTTTCAAAGGAAAATACTTTAAAGTAACCATCCTGAACTGTGAAAACTACTGATCGATTTGCAAACTTTGAACTTATTTACAATTGTTAACTCGAAGTATAAATTACTTGTGTTTGTATTCAGCACTGATGGATCGTCAATACATCTTTTCTCAGCTATCGTGACTACTGAATTGAACTTCGTTGTTATTTTTTAAGTGTAGTATAAAATTATTCGGAGTATTTTTCACACAAATGATAAATAGATAAACTGACCTTTGTAAAATCCATTGTGAGTTGTCTTATTCCGAAGTTGATAAAAAGTTAATTTTTTTGTTTTAATAAATATATCAGTGTGTATATTTATACATCAATAAGAAGTGTATCACAAATAAGGATCGAGGAGATTCTTTCCCAACTCGTAAGTTCTTTCAGAATATTCTTATTTTAACAAACATTTTCTAAAATACACCACGACTGATAAATGATCATCCTATGTGAGAATAGTGCAAATTTTTTTACCTGATTATAATTAACCTTAATTTGATTGCTGATAAATTTTGCTAAGTACTAAGCACACATGAGTCAATAATTTGAATGGCATGAACAAACCAACCAACAACCTGTCGCTCAACAGATATGCTGGAAGAAATGGACATGGTTTGAACAGACACCTGGAGGACACAGCTGCGTGACACCACGTCTCAGTCTGTCAGGCGAAACCTGAGTGGGCAATGAAGAGTTTGACTTGAGTTCAAGAGTGATAGAGATAAGATCTTATCAGCTAAAAATCAAAGCTTATGTGCAATCGTGATGTCAGATCAGGAGAAACTGTAAAATAACAGACTGAAATGGTTATGTGCTGTTGATCCAAAATGTTTCACATAGAACTCATGGAAATAAAACAATAGAAATAGTACCTCTTAGGCGGATTTCAATGAAATCGACATTCAAGTGTTGGTTTGCGAGAATTTGATTATTGGTTACAGTATCTCATCACGAATTGATATCGGTTAGAGAAACCTACCTTAGCAGTACTGGACAGCCAGCAGATTTGTTAGCCTAGTGTGGCACTCTTCACCACTACGCACCCATCACCAGCTGTTTGAACCCACGAATTTGTGATTATCTGGCGAGGTCGTGAACCACTGGGCCACTGGGACCCAATCCAATGATCTATGAATTCCAACTCTGCTGATGACATTCGCCAGTTGTCGCACTATATCATGAACTGAAAGAAGTGGGAATCGATGGGCTGATCGTTGGATTAGGTTCTAGTGGCTTAATGGTCTACGAGCTTACTCGCTTTGTAACCAGAAGGTCGTGGGTTCTAATTCCTGGTGATGTGTACGCACTGCGGAAGATTGCCACACTAGGCTGAAGAAGCAGCTGGCTATCCAGTCTTAACTGATGGGACTTTCAATGGTTCCCTAACTGATTTCAGCTCATAATGAAATCCTGAAATGGACATACTTGTTCACAGATATCTACATTAGTGATCAAAGTACAGAATTCAACAACTAAGTGCAAACATATTCATTCCTCGAATTCGAATTATTTGTACGAATTCATCTAAAGATCTATGGGCTAACCACAGACTGACAGAATCTAAGTAGACTGATAATGCTGAATTCTCTTACCTTTAAGTGATATTTTTACAACAGTGGAGATAATTCATGAAATACTGATCTTTATCAAACGGTACAGGATTTTCTAATTTCTTTTATAGAGTACTTGTTCATTATTGGCGGTATTACTGGTACGTTTGAGTACAGCCTAGTTATTTTTCCTGGAAGTCATAAAACCCTAATTCTGTACAATCTTCAGTTAATTTTCTTGTGAAATTCGTTTCTTAATGACACGAAATAAAGAGGATGGAGGTTATTAGTCGACAATGACTGAACTCTGGATTATCAATGCAGGATCAAATAGTTTTCGAAATCCCGTGGTTTAAATTTTGTTTAAAAAAGTCCCACATTCAAATCATTCTCCTCATTTTCAAACCGCTTTTTAGGCAAATATTTCACCAGATAAAACATTTTCAATGGAGGCAACTAAATTGATTGGTATTGTTCAATCAGCTCCATCCAATCGTACTAGTCCAATCTATGTAATAGTGCATCCTGCGTCAGTAAAACATGCAATAATTGCATTCGTATTGATGTAAGTCTGATGCTGATTTTGCGATCAGTATGTCGTTTATATTAAACTTTTTCTAATGACACAGATGAATAAAGTTTGCTAACTAACAGAAGAGAGTAACTTCATGTTTGGAAAGAATAGGCTTTCCTCGTAGAAATAACCTGGAATATCTCAGTACTTTCAGTTTTCAGATTTGTTTAACAAGATGACATGAATCACAGACAGAGAATCACCGGATAATGAATTAACCTCAATAATAAAACCAACAGGAATTCAAAATGATTCAGATTATTGTTTAAATTTATCCTATAAAAATTCGGCGCAAAGTTTCATTTCGATTCCTCGATGGTGGATGAAATTATAAAAAGACACTTATTGGTGACATCCTTTTCTCATAAACAGGAGGCGGTATGATGTGTTGACCTCACTCTCACATTTAGATTCATTATTACAACGAATCTACTGAGATAAAACGGCCTGTGACAACTACTAAAGAAGATATAGTTGGTCAGTGACTAACAACGTGCTACAACTCCCAGACCATAAAACTACAATTTACTAAATTAAATCACAAAACAAACGAATCTGATTTCACTTAGAGCAAAATTCTTAGTCATGGTTTTCTAAACCTGTGTGGCATTCAAACGCAGAGTAGTGTTGGAAACATAAAACAAGGCACATCCAACATCTGACTCAAAAACATCAAAATGATTTAGAAAAGGGAAAGAGAAAATACGTGTACATACATTCTGAAGGAAAATCGATTTCAAGTGAATCTCTGCACCATAGGTGACGTAGGTACTTGCATTTTTCTCAGGCTGTAACAACAAAAGACAAGGGCCAGGCAACGGATAGTTTATTTAGGAAATCAACACATATTTATAGATTTTCATGTATATTATAATAGATTATTGTTAGCAAACAAAGGCAGTCTTCTGATTGGGGGTTTCTGGCTGAACGTTAATCTCTCATATCTTTGTGGCCATTTATCGAAGTTCACATTATCTATCCGCAAATTATATCCCCCTACGCCAAGGCTGCTGTGATTGGTTGTTGAGTCAGTCTTTGTTCTTCTTTTTTCATGACCAATATCGGGGACATAAACATTAACGTAAATTACTGTCTACCAATTTTGGCTAGTAGCCAGCTCTCACAACAAGGCGACCCGATTTCAGTAATTCCGATGCTGGAAAGAAAGAACGCAAGGCTCGACTCTTGGCTGACATTCTAACCAAACCTCGCTGAGGAGTTAACCAGCCGAAAGTAAGTCGGGAAAAGACAGGATATTGGTTGTGAAGCTAGTAGCCCCACCACGTAGAAACTATTTCAATGCTACTGAAACCTCCAAGTCTGGGCTATGTTTTTCCACTTCGAATGGATGAAACGGGGAAAATATTTCACTTACATTTTATGATTTAGAGAATTATGGTATTAATCACGTAATTCGAGAAAACACAGAAGACAGTGAGCTTATAACTTTGACAACTTAACATATAATCAAAATAAGTGAAGTGTATTCAACAGCTGTAGAGAGAGAGATGATATTGACCGTGTTCTAAGAAAATCGCCAGTGTCAACATGTAAAACTCTTCCTAAGTAAACCACGGAGAATATATTGCCTGAACTAATGCAGAGTTAATGCTTTTCAATGTGGACTGACACTTCCTCTTTAGTTAGAAGAATGTATTATATGATCATATTTTAGGCAGATTCTTGTATGCTCTTAAATACCAATAAAATTATTATTCCATCCATTGGGTGCTTGGAGACCTTTTTTGTAAAGTTCACACTGTGTGTGTTCAATAATATCGTGTAGGCTAGCTGGAAATACTTCACATATCAGCTCTCATAGTTGTTTGTTTTTTCAAGTTTACTCTATTTCAGATGTAATGCCTCTCACCACCTTACAAAAATATTTTGTTTCTTGTTGAACTACATTTAATTAGCTAAGACAGTTAACATCATTCTAGCAGTCACGTAATGTGACACTGGCCCTAACCAAACCTATTTGGGTCACTGCTGTAACCTTCAACTACTATAGTTAACTTTGTGAACTCTATTCAGACGCATAACTTACTTGAGATAATAGTGCGTCGGTGGCACAGTAATACAACGCTCACCAACCACGGCTCATGTTTTGTACGGGGTTCGATCCCTGGCCACTGACGCCAAACTAGTAGAGAGTGATAGAGAGGGAAGGCTGGGCATGAGGCTAGCAACCTCATCGCGTAAAATTAATGAACACCACTGCTACCGAAACTTGAAGCCCACTATGTGTTCACTGGGAAGGTAAAGGAATAAAAATAAAAAAACTCGAGATAATAAATAAACTATGCATTCTGTTTACGGCCACAAATTGAATGCAATATAAACACTACTGTCCACTTTGAAATGTCTTGCTAACTAGATTCAAATTATTTCTACAAATCCCGTGTTTATGGCCAGCCTCGAAAACATCTTTTTATCATCGACCATCACTGATCTCCGTCTTTACAAGAGATACATTGATGATACTTTCATCATTTTTTTTGAAGAGAACCTGGACCTTGAAAACTGACTTCAAGCCTTCAACAATGCCCACCGAAACATCGACTTTACTCTTGATGCTGAATCCGACGGAATGTTCCCTTTCCTCGGTATCCATCTGAGAAGAAACACCGACAATTCTCTGAAGAGTCCATATAAAACAGCCTACATGGAATGGGCGATTTATCAACTTTCAAAGCTTCGTGCTCTTAAACAGAAAGCGGAACCTAAGATACGCTTTTTTCCAGAGGATTCAAAAGATATGCAGCGAGGCATTGATTGACAAATATTTGCGTAGTATCTGATGAACCTTGATGGAAAATTGTTTACCACATAGGCTCATAGACAAGAATCTCAAATAAAAGAAGACTTCCAAACAGGTCCATTCCGTTCCAAAGAAGATACTTTTGCTTAATCTACGATTCAAAGATAACACTGAAACAGAAATCCTTCCTGCAAGAAAGTGTTCAGCCAGAACGCAGAAAACAAACTGTCGCATTGGGCCATTTCAACGTGCACTTACCTGTTTACTTGCTCGTGCGGAACTGGGTATATTGGCCGTTCTATGCGCCAACTTGAAAAATGGCGCTCGTGAACACTATCCAGCCTGGCTAATAAAAGCAGAACGAAAACATGTATATAGTACAGTGACAGAACATCTGGTCAATTCAGCGCCATTCGAGAAATCCTTCAAGCTCGTATACAGGATTCGATCAAACCTATCTAAGGGAGTAAAATTAAGACATCCTGGCATAGCCAAGGCACTAGCCATCCAAAAGCTCAAACTCGAGCTATGTATTAAAAAGAAATATGTCCAATTCTTGTCCCTGCCATGGTCATCATAAACAGGTAATTTTTTTAACAGTGACTATCCCATTACCTTTCACATCCGAACTTCCTGTCTAATTTATCATTTTATAATTTCTACATATTTAGTCCCAAAGTGCACAAACAGTTATTCGTCACATTAGTTATGATTCCACTCGATTTTTTCTCCAGACATCCTCTCTATTTTGTTTTTCTACATTTCTAACCCTTAATTACACAATTTGTTAATCTTCTCAATAATTATGATGCTAATTTGTTTGGGTTTTATCCATCCCGCCTTGTTTATTATGGCGTTTTAATTCCTAATGATAATTTTATTAAATATCAAAGACTGAAATGAATAATGCGTGTTTTATTTTCTCTCTTCCTACATATTTTAGAACTATTAGTGTCACACTAACTTTGATCATGGTGTGCAACAAAAAAATGTGGAAATACAAGAAAACTATGATTACTTTAATCACTCTAGCAGTAGGTCATTTTTACATCTTTGAAAGACCTATTTGTACTTGTAACGTTCACTGTATTTATGTTGACCAGTTTAATAATTCCTGCATCACGTATAATTGTGTCTTATATCACTTATTTCAGGCGTTCATTCCAATCATCAGGGCATAGGTCTTCAACAGCACATTATCATTTCATTCTGTTCTCTTAAGCATTTTCAGCTGCCTCCACGATTAGCCATAGGCGCTCATTTCCATCTCACATGATTAACTATTATGCTAACCCTGTGCACTCAACTACTCATCTTTCAATTCGGGTTCCACTTGGGGTGTGTCTACTGTGCGATTTCATTCAAGGGTGGTCATTTCCATTCTTTTCTGCATAATTTTTCGGCAACAAGTTCTTGTTTGGTTAGTCTATGTTCCTCCTTATCGCTGATCCGTTATTATTGTTTGTTGTTCAATGTCGATCCAGCGAAGGCAGGTATTGATTGCAAGTCTCAAGAAGCCTGTTGACGATACTTCTTGTGATGCGCCAATTCTATATACCATAAATAGGTTAAATTATTATTCAGACATGCGTCTTCGAAGTATTAAGTGTTTATTGCAGCATTTTACATCAGCAGTCTGTAAAAGTTGGGATTCATTCAGACTGAGACATTTCTGTATTTTGTTCGTCAATGCGTATTCTTAACTTTGAAGCATTTATTAAGCGACTGACTGAGTGCAGACAAATCGTATTTCAATCACAGAATATAAAAATAAGCACTAAAATTTAGTGAATAGGGAGGACAACAGATGCATAGAACTTCAGAAAAACGCGTCATCTGACTGACTTGGTGAACCCTTCTGTCCATGACGTCTCACTAGAACCTCAGGTGATTTCCTGTATAGAGCCATTTACTAGTGAGTATCAGATTAATTTTGAAGTGTTGGTTTTCAGGAACTTGCTCGATAACAGGCTTGATCACGAAATGACATCAAGCTTTATCAAGGCGTTCTAATGAGAAGGCGTGACCACGAGACTTCAGCAAGACAGTGAAGAGAACAGTTGCTCAACGACGACATTAGTTGGTGGTCGCGCTTAGATCATGAATCTGTAGAGGTTGAATTTGATAAGCCACTTGATTCCGTCTGAATAGCTGAGTCGTCAATGAGCTTGCCTTGTAAACGGAAGATCTTGAGTGGGTGAGTACTGCCGAACAGTCCTAAGAGCTACCCAGTATTTCCTGATTTTCCAGTGGTACTCTGAGTGGTGTCAGCCCGTGATCAGCCTGTAACTAGTTGAATCTCTGCCGACCAACATTTGAAAAAAAATGTTCCTTAATATTATTATTATTATAGCAAATGGCGATGAAAGATATTACCATTGTACACTAGAACACTGGCCACCATTTCATTTTGTAGACAGAGTCCCGGTTTCCACTTTCTTGTCGATTAAAAGTGGTGGATGACTTGATAGCTTGTATATGACAATGCGAACATCCTCTTTTATGGAATTCTTGTGTAAAGTCGCTTCGGGTGGTTTAAGACAATAAGGTATTTCTCCGATCACACTGGTTTCAAAATGAAAAAACTTCTATTTTTAATATGCAGGTGTCAATTACCATGCACGCCTCAGTTTAGATTATGAGATGTTTTGCAGCCATCTAAATTGATCATCGAAAAAAAACTATTTAATAACCTTCGTCTAGAAAATAACTGCATGAATCTATATACTACTGGCGGATTGATATGAGTAGTTGTATGGCGCTCACATAAATTTGTTGTCCTAACTGGGTAGGCATATTGAAGTGATCTAAACATTGGACGCCTGTTTTGCAGGGTTCACTTGGAACTATGACTCAGTTTAATTTCTGGCATACGACTACTGATATCCATCAATCAGTAGTATATAGTTTCATGCAATAATGCCTGCTTTCTTGATCACTTTTTATGCTATCAAGTAGATCACACACTGTAACAAGAATAACTTTGGTTTCTTAAGGGAACTGTGATGACATTCAATTATGAATCACGTAAGTAGCAATTAATCCGTGAATAGAGAATTTGAACTCATGCTGAACAGTTTTACAACTCATCATCAGAAAGAACTCTGTCCTCCATCAAATGGACAAGGGATTATCAAATTTGTATTTAGTCTTAATAAATATTACACTCTATCCTCAGGAAAAAGACTGACGAAACGAAAGGAATTCCCTCATTTTTGTGTCAGTGTTCACTTTCAATCCCTCAATTTCTATTATGTTATTCCCATTCCCTCGAATTCTGGATACAATACAGGGATTCAAACTTGAAGTTCCAATAAATGGTTTGTTATTTCCTCGTAGGATGGATATTCTAGCATCACGCCCAACCTACCCACTTTCTTGAGCATACTGCCAGCTACTAAGCTGAGCTACGCTTAGAAATGCGTCGGCCGGTAGTCGAACACAGATTACGTTAGTAGCTGCCAAGCTTTTTTATCACTGAACCATTCTTCTTAAACTGAGTCTCCTCAAAATAAGGTAGAGAATTCCGCTTACTCCTGCCAGCAGTGTGTTGAACATCCTGTAAATTATAGTTTCTGAACAATTTTAAAATACCCTTTGTGTTTATGGATTATTTCGTGAAGATATGCATATCCAGTAGTCTCGTCAGCATAAGGTGAAGGAGATTGACCACGCTTTTTTTAAACAGACATTTCAATAATTTTACTTTATTTGAAAAGTCTAGAAAAATAATTATTCCACTCTACTACATAAATAAAAAAACATACATTTCTGCCTTTGATTTTCATTAGAGTCTACTATGGTGTTTCGCCATCTGTATAGCATTCGCTTATCCACTTCCAGAAACCAAGTATATCGTGTTCGCTATCTGTATTGTATTGAATGCCTTAGCAGTTACGCTTGGAATAAATATCCACCGGCTTAAGAGGACAGTATTAATATCACTGTTTGGCATGTCACTGATGATCGATTTGGTTGGAACCGTGATGATTTATCTTTCATTAGGCATCTATCCTATAGTAAGTGTAGACGTATTTTATAATTTTAAAAAATTTTATTTCGAACATTACTCAATCAAGCCAACCAAGAGGACAAAACAATTCAGCTTCTCATGTTGTTGTTTTTTTCTCTGAACTTGTTTAATGTTCTTCTGTCCAAATCTCCTGGATGTTTCATTGAATAGTTTCAAAGATCTACGACTGTTTATAAGTGAGCTGAATAGGATTCACTGGACTAAACCTGCCAAAACTGAAGGCACCGACGGCCGAAACCGATCTATTGTGGTCCGTACTCTAGAGATTATTCTTTGACTGCTGTTGTAAAGCAACCAAAACTTTCTTGACTCACCGAACGACAACTAAATAGCAGTTCTTTGCACTTAAATTTGTTGTGCTGTTTAAAAGTATTGACATATGAAAAGCTCAAAATCATCTCAATAATGCAGTTAGGCAATTATTTAAATGACAGGATTCTTCAGTACACAACAACTAATGTAGAACAAAAAAACTAGTTAACCAGAAAGCAACAGCAAGAACCATTTGAGTATCAGGTGAAATATTTCCAACAAAGTGGGTTCAAAACTCCATCATCAATAATAAACACTTAGACTTTAACTCATGCCATCCAGAATCGGTAAAGATAGGTTTAGTTAAATGTCTTTATATACATCTGTCCAGGAGCCTAACCAGTAAGCCAGAAGTTTTTTAAATAATGTAATCAAACAAATAAAGAAAATATTACCAGTGAATAACAACCACAATAGAATTTATTCGGAGATTAGCAATAAAAATGACAAATATAATATAGAATTCGTAGCCTCTGTAGAACTACCGTAGAAAGAAACAACGTCAGAGACCTTTCGTAGGATTTTCAAAGAGTCTGCCATTAAAACCAACCAACCAATTCACTCAGAGACAAACTTTGTCGGGTTAAGGATCCAGCAGACGCAATCAAGAGAAGTAATAATATAACTTGCCAAATACCATATAATGACTGTGAGTGAGGTCGATTACATAGTCCAGGCAAACTAGTAGATCGGCGTCAACCAGATTATTGGAAGATAAATATTTACCTCGACGTGGAATGATTGACTCTGCTAGGTGAAATAAACTGGAAGAATGCTCAGCCACGTAATCACAAAATAGAGTGTGGAACAAAGTGAGAGCATTACAAATTAATATAATGGTTAGGTGGAGATACAGCGCGGTCAATCACTGAAGCTTTGTTTTTCGTCTCAACGTCGCACATGTGCAATCGAAGATGGTAGGTGGCAACAAACAACAAATGGAAATTTTAGAGACGGAAAGAGGGAAAATGTGTATATGACAAATTTTTAAGCTCTGTGACCAAGTTGATATACTCGAAATGTAATCCAGTTGGTAATACTGCATCGCTGTGTAATACGTTTAAAATAAACTTATCTAATACGAAATTACATTCTATCACAGTGCCCAAGTTCTTTCCAATTCAATCAAAAATCAATCACCAAACACTTCCCATAAACAGTTCAATGTCAAAATCTTCACAGACAGCTTGACTTCATTCAAAAAAGTCGAACTAACTATAAATATCATCACACAACAAAAAAGAGGAGCATTAAAAGAAGAGAATAAACATGAACAAAGACCAATAATAAGGATTAAGGCAGCAGTTGATATGCCAAAGTTATAGTAGCGATATCAAGACCTTGGAGTAGGGATTTGATTGATTGGTTACAGAACTTCATCATGAGTTGATATCGGTCAAAGAAACACTGGAAACCTACCAGGCATTACTGGACAGCCAGCAGTTATGTTAGCCTAGGGTCACAATCTTCATCAGTACGCACCTACCACCAGGATTTCGAAACCAATGACCTTCTGGTTACAAGGTGAGCTCGTTGACCGTCAAGTCACTGGGACCAAATCCAATGGCCAATCCATGAATTCCAACTGTGCTGATGACATTCTCTAGTGGTCGCGACATTTTTCGAATTGGCAGAAGTTGGGATTCGTGGTATATTGCATCGGATTGCAGTGGCTGAATGGTCTACGAACTAGCTCACCTTGTGACCAAAAGGTCGTGGCCCCAAACTCCTGGTAGTGGATTCGTACTGCTGAATTATCCAGAATTAGTCTGACAAAACAGCTGTCCAGTACTTCCTGGTGGGTTTTCCAATGTCTCTCTTACCAACGTCAACACATGATGAAATCCTGTAACCAATTACAAATTTAGTTGAGATATTCAAATCAGTCTCAACACTGTGAATGTAACGTTACGTGTGGGATTATCCAAACAATTATTCCTTTACAAATGCTCTATAGAAATATTATATTGCATATCTTTTACACATTTCTGAATGCACAATGGTCTGCCAATGTAGTAAATGCTTCTGACAAATATTTCACTACTGTTATATAATAATTAGTATTTAGTTGTGTGCAGTGACGAGTAGAGAAAAGGGTAAATGATTCAATAACTGGCATTTCAAACTAATCTTCTTACATAACTTTTATTTCTTATTCTTTTAGCGCAATTTTCAGGCCCTAGCTGAGATTTGCTGGTGTGCAGGTGCATGTATCGTAAGTTGAAGTTCACTTTGTTAGTTTTATGATGAGTTTTGTCAGATGAAGTAGTACATTTCGTATTTCACCGAAAACCTCTGTCTCTATTGATATGTCGGCAGCCATTAAGGACTCCTTGACGATGTGGTGGATGATAACTTGATGTGGAGTCCAGGATGAATGTTTCCTCGAATTCTAGACTTGACAGCTGGATGTACCTGTACTCTCAGTAATATTATTAGTCATCCGGGAATCGCAAAGTTAACTTTAACACATAATGAATTACACCAGTCACAAAAGAGCAACCTTTTGTAGCTCAAGCGAGCCTAGTCGATAACGCCCTTCGGCATCTGAAACGATGGGTGCTTGGTTTTAGTCCAAGTAAGAACGTTATAACTTAATAGAGGTTGCAAGTATATCCGGATAAAAGAGTCCAAAATAGGACGATTTCACTGCTAGTCATCATCCACGAAAGAGTTTTAACTTACTGTAGTATTAAGCGGTCAATGTAACAATTGAAGTCTTACGATGAATCAATCGTGAGCCACATTATCTCAGCCACAAAGCTCCTGACAGAGGAACTAAGTGAAAAGAGTCATTCCCAGAGGGATTATCAGTACTTTCATGGTGGTACATAGGTACCACCTAGTAATGAGTGCTAGCATTCAAGAAATCTGATGAATCAGCCTTCAAGCAACTCCTAATACCAGTTCAAAAACAAGTACTAATATCGCTAGTGTAGAAAATCATGAAACACAAGTCATTGATAAGGTTTTTCATATTTGAATGTGTCTATTTGATCCGAGATACGCAAGATGACTTACAGTTTACACAGTTCGTTTTATGATTCCACTAAAGTTTGCTCCGGAAACCAAATTATTCAGATCTCAAAATGTGATCTGCTTAACATCATTAATGGTAATCAGCAAACCAAGTGAAAAAGAATAAAACTATATACTACTGATTAGTTGGGACGAGTAGTTCCACAGTACTCATATCAACTGGGAGTGCTTAACTGCTAACCATGTATAAGTGGACTAAACACAGGACTGCTGTTTCGTTCGGTTCGGTTCCTGTTCGTCAGCGGTGTATTCTTTTTAACTTAGATCAACGAGCCTAGTCAGTTCATGCCTTCCAATTTCCGCAAGTGATAGTACCATGCATTTATGCTTGCTTCCTCAACTACCACTTTTGACATCAAGGACATCATATATTTTGTGTGATATGAATAAGTTCGGTTGTCATAGGAAACTGTGCTAAAATCTTACCTCAAAATGTATAAACTTCAAATTATTTTTTAAACTGAGAAGTAAACTTCCTTTATCGGCGTAATCATCTTTAGGGAATGTACAGACGTATTTATATTTACCAAAAGTGTATAGTATACTTTTATCATATGTGACGAGAATGCCAACAGTGAGATGATAACTAGGGAGTTCAACAGCTGCCATTATTCTATCGAGTTCACATCAGAATCAGAGATGAAGTCAGAATTTCATTTTTTGGATGATATGCTAAATAGGGAATATGACAGTCATCTTCAAAGATCAATCTACACGAAACCAACTTCGAGTGATCAATACATGAGTTTTCATAGGTGGGTCCTTTTGAGAAGAAAGAGTAGTCCGGTCCACTCTTTATGCCTAAGAATAAGAAGGATATTTTCGAGTGATACAGTCGATGGTGATTTGGAGAGACTCAAACTAGTCTCCGTGAAAAATGGATTTCCTTCAAGATCCATCTAGAAAAACATAAAAGTAAAGGAAAAACCCGAAAGAACCAAGACGTTGCTGAAAAAACTGCTATTCACGAAGGCTGAATTTAAAGATGATATCGCACCTGAGATTCTGAAGAAGCCCTAATCCACATCACTGAGAAAAGCCTTCTTTTCAGGAGAGCTGTGGATCAGTTTTTACAACCTACAAACGATCAATAGATGTGTGAATGATAAACTGTCTCTTTTAGGCACATCAATGTGTCTTTTTATAAATTCACCTGCTCCTGCGAAGCTAGTTATAATGGTCGCATTAGGTGTATAGTTTCAAAACGAAACTCTGAATATTCTCCAACATTCGTAGGAAAAGAACAAGGCAAGACAGTTACTTGCTCAATTCTTGAGCACTTGGTGTCGTCTTTCAAAATTATCTACAAGGTGAGACCAAATGGTACAAAGGATGTTAGCTTTCGGCATTTATGTATGACGGGGAAGTTTATAGTTCGTCAATATAACCCCGAACTCTATAAACGGAAAAGGTATGTCCAGTCTACTGTGATCTTAACTTCTTCATTAGTCGATCACTGTAATTTTTTATTTTTTATTTTTAATGATTACTTTGTTTTCACATTAATTGATTCACTATTATTACTTTCATATTTTCCTTTCTAACATTTTCTCACCCTATTCACACTTACTAAATAGACACTCAACTACCACCTTTCTTCTTGCTCAGCCTTATCAAATCTAAAATGCTTTCTTTCTTTGTGCCATTATTGATTATTACGTCATTTATAACGTCAGTTTTTACTTTTGAAGCCACTTCTAAGGAATTATATCAATTGTTTCACCACCGCTATCTTATTACTCACTAATGGACTACTATACATTTTTTGTAAATATAAATACGACTGTAGAGCCACTGAAGATGATGTCGTTGATAAAGAGAATTTTCTTCACCTAAATGTCTTTCACTTTCTTCATGACTAAGTGGGTTTTTTAGGTGAAATTAAGAGGTGAGTTTATGGAATAACCAGTGCACTCAAGTAGCCGGCCATAAATCGGCTTGTGTGAACTGATTCAGCCCTCCAAGCTGAGTCAAACTGAGTACGACGCTGATAATCTCTGCAGTCGAGTGACTGACAATCAGTTGTTGATCTCAATCAATCAGCTATGTGTTTAATAAATTCCTAAATATCCTGCTCATTTAAATTCATTGGGAAAAGTTGATCGTTGTCATTTGAGGCACGTATCACTCATCACCTGGATTACTTTCCTCTTTATTTTCAGATAACCTTCATTACAATTAATGCTCTGTGAGATGTTAATGTTCAAGCCGTATTGTCTTGATATTCCAGAGACTGTTAATTCTGAAATCGCATCGAAGAAATACTGCTGATTTTTCAATTGAATGAAAATAATCAAAGTCACAACTTGACAATTTTTGTCATAATGACACTGCTGATAATTGCTTCTTCAAAATAAAACACTGAACTTCATAATAATTGGAAAATTTACGTGTTTTCTAATATCTTCGTCATGATAACGCTAGAAGCAGATAAAAATCAACGAAACTTTTCAAATTATTGCTTATTTTTGTGTTCTTGCTCTCGTTGAGTTGTTTATTTCAGTTACACAATTTCCAGTTGACTCTGTCATTAACACTGTCGGTGTGACCTGTTTATCCATGGTGTGATAACTCAGGCCTACATCGACATACTCATTAACCTGTTTGTTATCTGAGTATCATACCTCAATGAATTCTATGGTATTAAGTGGTTGAAAGCAATCAGCAGGAGGCGTTGGAACTAGGTTTCGTGTTTTTGTCAATCACCAGTCAGCAAGGTGTAACTTCAGTCAGGAAGCAACTTATATCCCTCCTTTGAGATTCGAACCCATGACATTCAATGAGTACTGGATGCAGTCAGAGACGTTACCAGTGAGCTATTCGAGCTAGCGACTGACCTCCTGTAGGACTGTAGTAATTACTTTGATTGAACACCAGGTAGTAACTGCACGTTTGACTGATCGAATTCAGTCTGCACCTTAGACAGGACTAGACGCATTACACTAGTTACTAACTAGTGTTCAGTCGAAGAATCCTCTGATACTATCAATTATATCAAATAGAATCGAGAGGAGAAATCAGACATAATAATAATTTTATAATTCCTGTCTTTCCTGGGACAGAACATTAGGGGAAATTTAGAAACAGCTGTCCAGTAATCCCAGTAATTCCAGTGGTTCTCTAACTGATGTCAGCTCATGATGAAATCCTCCTTGCAAAATTCAGAAACTCATTCATACAGAAAGCAAATTTATATGCAGCATATACTCCATTCTATTAGCAGCCGTTAAGAAGGTATACGCGGATAAAAGCTGTGGGCGAGTAAAATGCTACAACGCACTTATTCTGAAAGGAATAGGAGCAGGCAACTTTCAAATATCTAACTCAGAAAAATAAATATTCAACAAAACTTTCCATAATACATGTTGTACCTTCACATCGACTGATTAACACAACACACTTTGAATCAAATACAATAGTTTTCCTAATAAATATGAAGAATATCATCTAACATCCTGAGAGAAAATTCCTATAGCCCACTACATTGAATAACGCAGATGCATCCACTCCTTGTGATTTACAATATCCTATAAAACTCTATTGTTCTCCCATATTACTGTTCTTTTTATTATTATTTATTATATCTTTTTTGAATCTGTCTTTACTATCTTTACCTTCTTTGTGTGCTACATGAAAAGAGAGTGACTAATCGCACTGCTGCACATCTGTGCAAAGTTCTACGTTGGAACAATTTAGTCAGTCAGTCAGTCAGTCTTATCCTCTCCTAATAATAGCTCATACTGTTTGTGCCTCATCATCAATTATGTGCTTCCACTAGCCCTGCCTTTCACTTCACTAACAGATGTGTCAATTTATTTATTAAACATAACAAGACATCTCAGTTTTACACTCATAACGTTCATTTTGTCAAAATTCCAAAGAGTCCTTAAATTCCGTACCAGTGACTCAATCGTCAACAAGCCTGCTTTGCAACCTGAAGGTTCTGCGTTCGATCCCTGACTGTGGAGTCATGGAGTATATAATGCTGAAGAGTCTCTAACAGGAAAGAAGCACCTTTCCAGTACTCTATCGTTTCCAGTGGATTCCTAACTGAAGTCAATTAGTACTGGAGTATACGAACATCCTTTAACACAGATTTATTACGAAATAGAAAACGTCATGTAAATAATCTGTTCAACTCTTCTACTCACATCCCAAAGCAGCTGATCGTATGCTTATGTACTGTGATTTCCAAGTGACAAGCTTATCAAGTGTCTTGTGACTACTATGTGCTAATATCTGCGAATATGTAATAATAGCAATAACAATAATAATAGCTTTATTCCTAACAGTGCTTTTGTTACAAATATGGAATTCTCAGCATGTAATACAATATTGCATCCAATCTTCTCATTACACGGCAATAATTATAATAGGGCATTCACATTAATAATAATTTATACTAATAATATTGTTCAATAAGAAGTGAGTGTAAAATTAAATCGGGTGGGAGTTTAAGCGACAATGTAATAGTGACAACAAAAAACAACAATGTCGTTTGCTTTGAGTTCATCAGTAATTTCTGGTAATTTCTCACCTTACACTTTCCTCATCACATAAAATTTGTACTTGCCAAATAAGGTATTGTTCAGTTTTGCACGAAATCACTCGAGGAAATAGTCTTTTATAGTTGCTTTTAGTTCTACCACATGAAACGCAAGGAGAGAGTTGTGCATGGAGAGGATGTTCAGAGTCTGATAGGATAATATCTAAAAAAGTTTTTCTTAAGGAGCTCGGGAAAGATTAATTTGGCGGAAGTAGTAAAAGGGTATGGGCAGAATACAAGAATTAACAAACAGTAACAGTAGATATGGAATGATGCTAGACAGTCTTAACTTCCTTACGCAGAACGTCAAACAAAATATCTTTCTGGAAACTAACATGATATGGGAAGACCAGGAAAAGTGATCAGAGGAAATAAACAGTCCAAGGTATGTAACGTTCAATTTGGTTTCAACTTCACTGCCATCTATGACAGTGGAACCGTGCGAACTAACCAGTTCATGTGAGTCATGCTTGAGCCTGAAAGTGAAATTAACCACCTGACATTTAAAGGGATTAAGCTTATGACCATTTGACGAGGACCAATGACTAATGTAGGTAATCACTTGTATTAAATTTATGAATAAGATGTAACAATCTAACTTTACATTCTGTAAAGATTTTTTTCCTTCACGTTCCCCAGTGGAACATAGGGCTTCAAGCTAGTGGCTTGAAGTTTCTGTAGCAGTGTTCATTTTACAGGATGGGGTTGCTAGCCTCATGCCCAACCTTTCCTCTTCACCAGCATTATTTCTGGTTTAGTGAGGTAAAGGATTGCGTCGGCCGGGGATTGAACCACGGACCATGTGCATGGTCGGCGAGCGTCTTAACCGTTATGCCACCGACGCTTTGGAAAGATTATGTAACCACTAAACATTTTTCCTGTAAAGTTTTATGTTACTCGAAATACAAGTAAATTTTTTTGACTAAAATTCCTAAGAATTACTTACAACGGCTGACACCGAAGCGTTGTGAAAACATCTTATTTTTGATTGGTGGATTTTCATCTAAGTTATTTCATGACTGAGCTGTTTCAATTTCAGCTTAAAGTATAAGCGCCTAAGTAGTATATTTTGTTCGATGATATAACTGTTCAAGATTATTTTACTCATATATTTAGAATTCGAGATATTATACAACTTAAACTTTGAAATGGTCGGCGATGAAGTCTGAGATTATAAATAAAATGCTACAACTAGAGATACTATAAAGAAGACCAAAGTCCTTCCTCACTTAGACGTTGCAACTTTTTAACTAGTAAAACGATTTACAAAGCTACAATACATCTGTCGTAGTCATTGATAATAGACCACGTAACAGGGAGATAACTAACTGGTAGCGAAGCAGACGAGGAGAGCGTAAACATATGTATCCATGGAAAATTCCAATTGTAACATACAGAAATTAAAAACAAATGATTCAGTGAAGAGACTCTTTTCAACGAAATTATTATCAAGCTGTACAATCGTATGTATATATGGTTTTTAAGAAATTATATCCGGTGAGGGAGTTGAATCATAGGTGTGAATGCATAAAATAATAGTAATAGTAGTATGAAATGCAATTAAAATATTTGCGATTATAATCATAGTTAAATGTCAGGTAGCAACATAATTAATGTCATATATATAGAATAATCCATAGGATGGATAGAACTTGGAAGGGATGTGCGATCATAGGATTAATAGGCGAATCGAATAAAATAAAAGCGTTACGTAATATTATGTGAAATTCGATAACATAGAATTTAACGTTGCAAAACAGAATTGATTTAGAATGACAAGTGGAAAGAGTGAAATAATACCGGGACAGTTCAAAGGGAGAATAGTAATAGTAACAGTTGACGTATTGAAGGAAGAGTATACAAAATGAAAAAAGGTAGAGCCAAAATATGACTAGAGATTACCATACTTTAGCATAAAGGAATGATTAAGACCATGAAAGTTGAAGTAGTTGAACGAATTTTTTTCTGTGCACAGAGATCTGGCTTTTCTGTTTCGATAGCCAAAGCTTCAGTAATACAGATGAGTCGGGTACGTATTGATTTGGGTAAATTACTTTTTGCCTTGTAGATGACTTTAAAGGCGGAGGCTGTAGAAATAGGGTGATCATTATCGACCAGATGCTCCACTTCCACCTCTTCGTAACCATGCTGGAGGATAGTGTTCTTGCACCCTCTTGGACAAAACTCGGGTCGAACGACCGATATACCTAGCTCCACACGAGCATGTGAATTGATAAACGCACATAGAGTTGGTCAACAGCGGGATGTTGTCCTTCAGGATATAACTTCTTAAAAACCAAATATTTACGACTGTACAGCTTGATCGTATATAAATCGTCGAAGAATGAGGAATTTGTGGTAGAAAAGGAGTGTGGTTTGCGATGTACAACAAATCTATGAAAATTTGTTCTTCACAAATAAAATACTAACCATTTTATGTATAACTTATTATCTCTCATCCTTGTGCGAACCACTGGTGTCTATAGTAAGGTAATAGAATATTCGTCAACTACACATTTGGTCTGGGTTCGATTTTAGGCCGGCTGTCTCCTAAACCTTGCCCAGGCAGCAGTAACCTGAGTAAAGAAGGCAGCTTAACCGTGAGACTAACAACAACACCCCCATTAAATCAACACTGCCACTGAAACTACAAAGGTTTAAACCCTATGGTTCACTCGGGACGCAAAGGAAAGAAATATGGTATTATTCCATTATGGGTAAATTTTGTTTTGATAAAGTCTCACATATCACCTTGATATGATTAT